AAAAAGTGGGGTAAAATTTGCATTCAAGAATTGTGCAATAGAAAAAACACAGTATTAGATAAGATTAAGAAAAGAAAGGAAAATTACCTCAATCTTCTCAGAAAGGGGCCAATCATAGCTGCAGGAAGCAACTAAAAAAAAATACAGACTTACCATCATAATCTCTACAGCGTTTCTTTGGCAGCGGTGGTCTTCCATAGGAGTTGTGGTCCAGCTGCTCTTCATGGAACTCTGACCAGCTTTCAGTAGTGTTATTTCCATGATGAGCAGGAGCAATAACAGTAATAGTGCTGCTCAGTGTAGGGACAGGGTAGTGGCCAGATGAAATATTTGTCACAGAAGAAACTGGAGTATAATTGTTCTCTAATGGATCTGTTCTATCCATATCATATTTGGGCTTTCCCAAATCCCTTTCTGTAAAAAAAGAAAAAAAAAAAGTTCTATTGGATGCTTCCTTCTGCACATTTTCACCAAAAGCAGCCACTAACCTGTGTATCTTCAGTCCACAGCAATTAATCTCAAAATATAAAAACGATAATTGAAATGTTGTAAAGGTTGCCCAGAGTGCCTGCAGAGATTCCACCCTTGGAGTTACAAATTGTAACTCAACTAGATGGGGTCCTGAGCAACCTGTTCCAGTTTATCTGCTTTGAGGAACAGGTGTTGGACTACAAGACCTTCAGATGTCTCTTTCAACCTCAACTATTCCATGATTGTACATTCCAAAGGTTTAATCAGAAGAATAACAGTCCTAAAAGAACACAGTCAGCCACTGGGGTATTTTAAAAACAGCTATACCCACAGTAAAGCAGAAACCCTATTTAACTTCAAGCAGAGTACATTTTCTGTAGTGATACATACATTTTAAGAACTTCAGGCAGAAAGTTATACTGAATAAAGGGAAGCAGTGGTCAAGAAAAAGGTAACCACCACTTGAAAACACTATAAAAGTTACACATCTTTAACGTTTCAAGATACTGTTATTGTTGTATCTTTATGTTGTTGATATTCACTTTATCTGCATTCAAATGCATACATTTATCACAGGAAAATAAAGCTTTAACATGACTAAATAACAGTGCTTGACAGGTGTGGAACACTCCTGGACAGATACAGCAGTAAAATGACCTTTTATTCTGAATACATACAAACTATTCTCTTAATTTTCTATTATTACCATCAAATGAACACTAAGTATCAGACCAAGACCGAAGAGTTCTGTCATGAGGTAAGTTGGTAGACTCAAATAGTCCCACATTAAAAGAACATTAATAAAAATGTCTTAAAGATGGCAGGTAAGTGTGAGTAGAATAGTCGTCTTAACGTGCTTAGAAAAAGAAACTAAAAGCTTTCGCTGTAAGGTATTTTCTATATTACCATTGCAGTTTATGTAAAATAATTAAGGTTTAATCTTTCAGTTAAACTGCTGCATGATATTTAACTTGCTCATTCGCAAGTTGTTTGGAAAATATCTGCTCATGTATTTTCAGGAACTCTGCATTTCCACTTTTAAAGCTGAGTTACCATGGCCCATTCTGAAGGGCAGGATGGTGATCAAGTATCGCTTCTCAAATCCTGTATTTATTAAACGTCAAAGGCTCCAGATGGGCTGGGCCGAATCCAAGCCCCAAGTGTTCTCCAAAACATCTCCATTTCTGAGCTGGGGCAGCGCCAGCCCCATTTCAAGCTGCTGCCGAGTAAATTGGAACCTGGATTTCTTGATAGCAGACAAGGGAAAAATAACCTTTTCTGCTCAACATGTGCAGGATTTGCTTTTTACAGTTTGTTTCTTTAAATTTTGGTCCATCTGAAAGACTCATTAGATGATTTAAATATTTCACAACAAAAGCCCTATGACTATAATGAAGTTCTGACTGCCAGCCTCTGCTGCTCTTCCTCCCGCTCCAACACTTATCCAAAGAAAGTGTTTCATTCTCAACAGCCCTGAATGAACAAACGGGAGAAGAGGGAGGAAGAAGCGAGGAGTATCTCTTGATCGCTGGTCGAAACAAGCACTCCTTGCTCAGGATGGAGACAGCGCTGGATCTCGGCCAGAAAAGAGCCCAAAGAATTCAGGAAAAGGTTTTGGAGCCTCTTATGATTGAAAAATCAGACTAAAAGTCACAGCACGGACTCTCTTGTGCCAGCAGCTGAGAGCCAGCATTAGATGAGGAAGTTTCTGAAAGCATGAAGTCGAAATGGAGTACAATTGTCTACTTTTTAAAATCAACAAAAACCAGCAGAAAAACCTGAATTCAAACACAGAAAACAAATCTGTTATATTTAAAAATAAATAAACAATCAGGCCTTACCTTGGTGAATCCTATCTGCTCCTTCCGAAAGTTCTCCAAAGGTTTGATCAGCAAGTCACTGGCGTTTTGTACCTACAGTACGAAGAAAGAAACAGTTTAATTACAGGAGACAGATTCATTTTGTCCTAAACAGAGGCTGAACAGGGCTGGAAGCCAAGAACTCTTAGATTTTAATGCCTCTGACTTGCAAGTGAAGTCACTTAACCCATCCGCATCCATGTTTCCCCATCTGTAACACACAGAACACCCCAGTCACGGCACACGAGGCCCTGGGGACACCCTGTAAATGAGAGGTGGGCTCCCCCAGCCCCGTGCCACAGGCTGTGCTTGGGGGACAAGCCACCAGCGACAGGACCTGCCACCCGCCCTGCTCGGGGAGAGCTGGTTCTGGCCGGCCCAGGAGGGCTGGATGCTCGAGGTACGGCGGGCGCGGGGTGAGCCCTAACCAGCAGCAGCCCCAGCAGACGCTCGTCGCTGAAACGAGCCCTGTTCCGGAGAGAAACCACCTGCAGAGCTCAGCAAGGCCCGACGGGCGGGGGCTGCTCCTTGGAGAAGGTGTGAGGAAGGGCCCAAGCTCAGGGGAGCCGAAGGCAGGGCTGGGGCTGGCTCCCTGCCGGGGCCTTCGCGTGCTCTGGCCTCTCACCACACAGCACTGGGCTTGATGGCCCTGAGAACACGGCTCTCAAACGACGGATTTCCCTCTCCCGAGACCCAGGCAGGAGAGTGACAGCAGGTTATCTGTCACAGAATAACAGCAACAGTAATGGCTGGGAAAAAAGGAAAGCCTGCCTGCGTCTCTGCCAGTCCTGTCAGATGTCTGAAAGACACTTTCCTGGGACGTGCTCTGTGCTCCCTCTTCATGAATCCACAGGCAAACTCACCCCAGTTTGCACCACAGGCTCCAGCTCAACCCTGGCAGTGGGACATGACTCTTCCCGTCCCCGTTTCTACTGCGACAGGCTGTCTCCTGAGCCCCAGAGAAGGGAGAGGGGAAGAGAAGGGGATAGGACTCTACACTGCCACAGCCCTTTCAGGTAATTTAAAGCTGATGAACATGGTGAGTGTGAAACCTTCTGAGTGAGCTACTGTAAAGGACTGGTCCTACAAGGGGCGGGCAAAAGAAAACATTTTAAAAAGTTGGACAGCATCCCTAAAAGCATCCCTGAAACGGTCCCTTCCACCTGCCACCAAAGGAGCCAATTGTACCTGGGCTGTAATTAATAAAGACCGACCTCACTGTTTCTCTCCAGCTCCTCACTGGTTTCCTGGGGTTCCCTGCCTGCCTGCGGACCCGCGGGGTGGCCGGAGGCGTCCCGCCGGCGCAGGCACCACTGCGGCGCTGGCCCAGCCCGCAGCCTGGCACCAGCTCTCGCTGCTGCACGAGGCAGAGGGAAGCGGAGCCAAGCAGCACATTCCTGGCATGCTCTAAAAGCACTCTGCTGAGCCTAACCTTCGTGTTTTTCCTGGAATTAGGAGGGAAACGGGAAGCCAAGGCTCGCTCTGGAGGAGCGCTGGGGAGGCAGAGGGCACAATGCAGCAGGAGAGCCCTGCAGGAGCTGTGTGGGCCAGGGCAGGGCCACAGCGGCACCAGCGTGCTCGCACCCAGCAGAAACGAAGCTAAAAAACCATCCTGCTCCTTTAACGCTCCGTTTCACCACAAAACCAGCCTGTTACCAGCTCAGACACACTCTGAAGAGCCAACCTGCTGCCAGTGGTGGGGTCCCAGGGCTCTGTAAGAGGTTTCGGACACTGTGGGGGACAATGTCTTCCCTCCCCGCCCAGCACCCCAGACGTGGTGCAAGGCAGAGCATTCCTGGTGCTCCCAGACCCCCTCCGACGGGAAGCTTCAACACCGAGGTACGTGGTGCTGTGATTTAGCATTTAAACATTAAGATGAGGCAGTAATTACCAGAGCACAGATCAGATCATCTTACCATCATGGACCTCTCCAGCTCTACCTCCTGGAGCAGCTCTGCGAACTCCTTAAAGGACTCGGCTGTAAGGAAAAGAAGAGGCTGGTTGGTGGGGCTGGGGTGTGGCACGGGACTGGGGTACCCGAATCTGCTGCACCCCCAGCATCGCCGTCTAAAGGTTCGCCCAGAGCCAGGGAAGAGCTGCCCCCTTTTTGGCAGAAACCCAGCTAGGCAGGGCCATCGGTAAGGGCCGGCCACGACCACAACAGGTATTTGTTTCCATGCTGGAGAGGAGGGGCTGCCTGGAGCAACAAGGCAGATAACGCCCTGGGAAGGGAAGACGCATTCATTAGGAAAAGCTGGTAAGGCAGGTGGCGGGAAGGGGCAGCTGCCCGCACCAGGGATGGCAGCAGGATGGGCTCTGCGGGCAGGACAAGCTGCCTGTCCTGCCTGGGCTGCCGGAGCCGGGAGGAGCTGCAGGAGCTCCCCAGGGCCAGTCTGACAAATGAAGCCAACCCGGAATAACAGAAATGATGTTCCGTGACAAGATGCACAAAGTCCCTGTGACTATGAAGGAATGGTCACAGACATTGACACCACTCCCCAAAATGTTAAAAATTAAACAAAAAGATCTCACTGAGCAGCACTTTCCTTGGAGTCCACCTACAACAAAAATAACACGAAACCTTTAACAAACTGGAACAACAAGGTTTATTTAGCCTGGGGAAAAAAAAGGGACTAGGCAGGAGTAGTTGACTGCCCCCACACCACCGGGGCTACCACCAAGAGGGCACAGAGCCCTCTCTCTGCCCATCGGAGGAGAACAGGGGAAGGGACTGAATTTGTAGCAGGGGAGAAAACCTCTCGCAGAAGAGCAGTGAAACGAGCGGCACTTCAGAAGGCTCAGTTCCGCGGGAGGTGTAAGGCCAGGCTGGGCAAACCCCTGCCTGCCCACATGTGCTGAACGCCGGCGGGGAGGAACCCGACTGCCCGGGCGTACCCGGGAGCGACCCGGGAGCTGGCTGGGAACGTTCCCCCAGCTCCGCTCATCACCTCGCGGCTGCGGAGCAGTGCTGGAGTTCTTGTTCTTGCGGCTCGGGCCCCGCACTCACTGCGGAGCGGAGAGATTCAGAGCTGCCTGAGAATGACCCAGAGAACCTCCAGCCCGCCTGGGCTGGCAGGGCTCACACAGGGGAACAAACCCTGCGCACGCAGCAAGAGCTCATCCCACAGCCGAGGCGGGAGGATGTGTCTGTGCTCCGCCGCAGGCTGAGGGCCCTCTCCCCTCACCCCAGTCCTGCTAAACCCAGCCCAAATGCCGCTGCACAGCTAGCGAGCACGAGCCTCCAGCGTTAGGGACTCGCTCTGCGGCTGCTGAGACAGACACAAAGGGGAGAAACCACAGCGGCCTCGTGACACAGCCCCTCCGCTGGCTCCAGCCAGCCAGAGCCCTCACCAGCAGCCAGGAGCTTCAGAGGGCTCTTCCAGAGCTCGGCACATGCAGCGTCCCGGCACCTCACCCCCGGACACGCTGACTTTCCCTGCGGTTACTCAGGACCATGTGAAACCTGAAGCGCGCAGAGACACGGGGGAACCGAGCCAGGAAACGAATTATCACGGGGAGGAAGAGAATCCAGCCCTGAATTCACAGCAAAAACGCCAGCGCCTAAAATTTTCACTAGATGTTCCTTTTTCAGGCTCTACAGGAGGAGTCCAGGCGCACGTTTCCGGGCGGAGGGACGCGGCCACCATGTAACGGGGGTGCCTCTGTCACCGTGCCCGTCCCCGGGGCAGAGCCCTGCCCACGCCAGGCAGCAGCAGCCCAGCGCCCGCGGCCCGACTGCGCTCGCAGGCTCCACAGCCCCTGCCCGGCGCGAGGGGCTCAGCCCGCAGTCTGCCGACGGGCAAAGGCAGAGTTGTGCCGCTGCTGGTATTCACAGATCAAACACTGTCCCTGAAGTACAGTAGGAAGCGCTTGCGAATGTTTTGCTTCATTCCCGTATCCTGCACATCAAACGAACTCCTGCGCTCCCACGCAGACCGGGAAGCTGCCGCGGGGACGTCGCCGCCCTGCTGCTGCTTCGGGAGGCAGGAGCCTTGCAGGCGCTGGCCCCAGCAGGCACTGCAGGCTTCGGTGGAGGAGGAGGAGGAACACAGCTCCGGCTTTTTCACAGGGGAAACCAGGCACCTCCTCTTCAAAGAGCAAAACAAACATTCCCCAACAAAAACAGAAGCAGGGGAACGCGCTGGTTTCACCACGGAGTGTTTTACATTTGCTGTGATCTCTTTGCGCTCTCCTCCGCCCACAGTCCCCCCATTCAACCCCTGTCATTCCAGCAGCCCTCCTCGCCCGCCGAGCGCTGCGGGCCTGCCGCCTCACGGCGCCGGGCTCTGCTCCCTCCCGTGAGCAGAGGCAGGGCGAGAGGCAGCGCGGGGGCATGGCACCTCAGAGCTTTGTCCCTGCCAGCCAAGAGGGACGCTCCTGCCCTTGGGCAGCCGTTCGCCCCGGATCCCTCTGCTCCCAGGAGGGGCATTTATAAGGCAACGTTTTCCCCTCCCTTATTCCGATGTGTTTGGAAGTTCAGCACCTCTGTTGCCATTAGATGTGGAGGCTGACTCATTTCCAGTGGGTTTCACCTAGAGACTTTCCAAGAAGCAAATCGGATTTTGAAGGGCGAGCTGCAATCTGCTTTAAACTGCTTTAAATAAAACAGCGCAAAGAACAGGCTTTACTTCCTTCCCCTTTCAGCGATGGCCAAGAGACCTGACATCAGCAATGTCACACTTACAGCCGCTCCTCAACAAGAGCCTGACAAAAGCCTTTTTTTGTTGTTGTTGTTCTCTTTTTCTAGACTCAGCCCCCAGGAGCAGCCCAGCTAATGCCCTGTGCCCCCCACCACAGGCACCCCCCGGGTTCTCTGCCACGGGCCAGGGTCAGGCCCTCAGGGGCTGGGGGATCTCCTGTCCTCCCCCTGCAGCACCCACAGCCCTGCACCAGCCCTTCCACAGCCCAGAGCAGGATTAATTTGAGAAGCACTGGGTTTAGGGCGTTCAGGCCATTCGGCTGAGCTCCCTGGGTGCAGCCGGCAGCTGTGTAACCTGCAGGGTTGCACCCGGCTGGCAGGGACGTAAAATGATTGTTAATCCCGAAACAGATGCGCGGGGAGTAGTGTGACACTCTCCCAGGCACGGACTGGGGATTATTTTCCATAAGACAACACACTTTTCCCGGCAGTTTGCAGCCTGGTCCCTTTTCCAGGGCAGCGTGGGGCAGTTTTGTTTCTGCAGGGCGTTTTCAGCAGGGCAAAGGCAGCTTGAGGAGCAGCGCCCGCCCGGAGCGGGACACGTGGCCGATGCCCAGCACCCTGCGTGCTCCCAGTCTGCCTGCAGCACTGGGGAGCGGGACTGGCTGGGAGGGCAGTGCCGCACCGCTGTCCTGCCTGGCAGCAGGGAGAAGGGTTGGGGCCATGGAAAACCTCTGCAAATTGCCCGTGGAATTAGGAATGTGAAACTCTACCCGCGGAAGTCCGGCTTTGTAAAATACCCCTTGGAATAGCTGACGGGCATCTGGGGAACCTGGCTCCTGATGCTGTTTAAAAACCGCCAGTGCAGGCAAATTCCTAGAGGAGAGACTTTCTCAGTTACTGAAAGTTTGAATCAAAAGGAAGAAAACTTACCAATATTAATCTCATCATCCGTTAGTGTGTCACCGATAAAGTCGAACTGAAAGGACTGCAGAGTCTGGGAGAATTTCTGTACTGCTGATGAGTAACCTGGAAAAGGACAGAGCAGTAAGGCTGTGTATTTCTGCAACTGTTACACAGAAGCAGCAAATTTTCAGAAATTTAACCTGAATGGAACAAAACTATAGTGAGGTGGTTAGAAAAATCCACAGGCATCATGAATTTAATCCCTTCAGAAAATGTTGCAATGTGAATAACCATTAGAGGCTGCAGACAGCATTTCTCTTGTTTTCTTTTTCTCCCTCCAGCGTTGCTGAAAATGTTTCTAATGGGTGTTACTAATGGATGCACTGAATTTTACAGCCAGCCGATCGACAGCCCCCTGCCCTGCCCTGTCTGGGAAGGGACACGGACACATTTCCCCTGCAAGAACACATGCAGCATCCCCCAGCACCCAGGAAGGGTTTCGGAGAGGCAGATATCCCTGGTGCCGCCGTGCATCGGCACAGCTCCTCGGGGCGCGGGGCGGCCGGCCAGCCTTGCCACCGTGCAAAGGGCTTCTTTCATTCTATGAGAGAGAAATCTGTAGAGTCAGAAAATAAACACGAGGGGAAAAGATCAGACTCTAAATAACTGCCCCACTTTCGGGGGTCACAGAGCGTCTGCCGATGGCCCTGGGACCCGCTCCTGGCCCGCTGGGGAGGAACTTCCAGTCTTGAAGCAAAGACACTTCCCGACAGCGGTTGGCAGCTCAGCCCAAATTATTTTTGGACTTTGCAGAGAAGTTTCTGGCCCAAAGGATCCTTTGTGTCTTTGCATCCTGTGCGGCTGCTTCACAGCTCGGTCAGCAGCTCTGCTGTGGCAGAGGGGGGACGGGACGGGGCAGCCGGCCCCGAGGCTGCAGCCACCCCCCGGTGCGGGCTGGGACAGGCGCAGGTGATGCTCCGGCACAGGAGGGACCGAGTCCTCCCGCGGGCAGAGCACAGGAGGGAGACGGGGTGGATTCGAGAGCCTCGCACACAAGGTTACGCGCTTGTCTGGGGGGCTGGTCTTCCTCCAACAGCAAATACCCGAGACACAAACAGGAGGAGGCTGAACTTGCCTGACCTTAGGGAATAGGACATAGAAAATAAAACAAAAGCAAAGGAATAATGTGATACTTTGATTCACATTGTTATTTTCCCTAATTGTGGACTCCAGCGGTAGGCACAGTCCCAGGCTGTGGGGGTGCACAGGGAACGTGCTTTCTGAAATTCAGGAAGCTGCAGTTGTGGAAGATGTGACAGCACAGACGTTAACGTGTAACCGGTTTGTACAGCCCAGCTTTGCCAAACCAGGGGAAAGATTGCTGTAACAGAGAAACTCGGTGTAAACGAGCAGCTTTTTAAAATTCGTTTGTTTAAAAAAAATAAGACACACACAATCTCTTTTGGCATCAGTTGCTTAAATCTGGGGGGAAAGAATGGCCAAAAATGAGGTGTGAGGATTGTGTCTGCACAGTGCAGGCTACCCCCTGCACTGGGGGTGATCTGGGTGTATTTTTGTTTGTTCTGTCCCATTGCAGACTCCGTGACAAAAGAACTTATCACTGCAGCGGCAAACATGGGGTTTTCTGAAACACTGCTACGAAGGGCAGAGAAAAATTGGACAACACTGAATGGGACGTTGGGAAAGGAAATCAAGTGGCCGGTGTGGGATCCTGGCAGGTCCCCAGACTGCTCTGCTTCCCTGTCCCAGGGTCAAGAGCACCCCGGGGCCCCCGAGCAACCGCGGCAGGCGGGGACCGTCGGGACCCCAGCCCGGGGAGGAGCGCGGCCTCGCAGCGCAGACAGTCCCCGCTCTCCCCTCAAAAGCCTCGTTCAGCAGTTTCCTCCGGCGGGTCAAACCTTTGCTCCTGAATGGGCAGATTCAGGCCTGAATGTCCCTATTTAAGCACAGCTGCCGGGGGGCCGAGAGCGCGTAAACGGGTGAACTCCAGCACAGAATGATGTCATTGATTTGGTGGAAAACCTCAGCAAATAATTCACTCTCAGTCCCCGCAGCGTTCGCTTCAGGCCGGGCCGGAGGCTCTCATTCAGTTGTTGCTCAGGGGAATCTTTGTTCATCCCCCTACAAACCCTCGTCCTCTTCCCTGGGCGCTGCTACAGCCCCCGCCCAGCCCCTCAATTGGTGAACTTCAACACCCCCCCCCTCTTTGGGCACCCATCCCGAGCCAGCACCCGGTCCCTGAGCAGCCCCCGGGGGTCTCATCAAGTTCCACCCTCCCGCACCCCTGGCCAGCACCTGGCCATCCCCTCCATGGGGGGAGGCGACGAGGGGGGGCCCAGCTCCGGCTCCCGCATCCCCCACACACACAAGCGCAGTCACAGCCCCGCCGGGACGGGGGCTGCCACGCACCGGCCTCCCACCGCACGCGTCGGCAACACAGGCCTTGGCAAGCTGCTTGCCTTTTGGTTTGTACAGAAACAGGGGGTTGAAAGAGCCAAACATCTCTATTTTAACCAGAAAAAAAGAAATGGTATTGCTGATTTAAGTTACGTTTTCCTTTCAAAGTGCTGTCTGGCCTGAAAGCTTAATTCGCCAGTTGTCTACTCAAGGAAATCCAGGTGGATGTGCTATACGCCGCATCTCGCGTTAGCTGAGCAGTGGAGACAAAATAAAAGTGAGCGCCCCTTAATTAGTCCAGTGCTGTTTCGTTTCACTCGGGACAAGGAAATCTCTTCATTTTGGGGAGCCATCCTCATCCCCACCTTCAGCACAGCGGGGGTCGGAAGCCCCGGCTGCGAGCGGTGACTGTGTGCCCCCCCTGCCACGCTGAGGGAGTCTGTCCCTCTGTCCCACGGCGAGGTGACAGCTGCCGAGGACAGCCCAGGGGTGGCCAGGGCACCAGCAGACCCCCATCCCGCAGAAAAACAACAGCAGGAGACGGGGGTTAGGACGGAGAGGCCAGGCGGAGGGAGAGCCCGCGCTGCGCACGCCTGGCCTGGCTCCTGAGCAGCCTTTAATGGAAACCAGACTGCCCCGAGCAACGTGACTCGTCCTCGGACACGTACGGAGCCTTGGCTGAACACCGGCTCCCCACAGCCCCAACCCACCCGCGGGACGGGCACCGTCGGGGGCCACCACGCTACGGCGGGTGTTGTTCTAACGACAGGAGCTCACACCGGGGTGACCCGGCCGCCCGGGGAAGGGATGATGCTGTCACCCGGGGAGCCCGACGCAGAGCATCGCCCCTTCCCTCGGCAGCACCCGAACGGCGGCGTGGTGACAGCGGGGGACAGGGCAGGGCGGGGGGACCGGGATGAGCCACGGCCGCAGGAGAGCGGCTCGGCAGCAGGAAGGGGCCATGGCAGGCAGTGGCTGGAGCTGGGCGGGAAGAGATCTGCATCGCGGGAAACAGGGCGACATCGCCACGCGGGCGGAGATGGGCCCGTAGTCTCCCTCCCTTTAACAGCCCCCGGGATGTGCCTCGCCCCGCTGCGCACAGCCAGGGGCGGCTCACCCAGCCCCGCGAAGGCTGTGGAGAGCAGTAACTCTGTGCTTCCAGGGCAGGGACACGACTGCCAGCAGCTGGCAAAGCCTCGCCCCCGCCCCGCAGCCCCCAAGGACCCTGCCTGCTCTTGGTACAGCTCAGCCCGTTGCCGTGGAAACACAGTGAAATTAATTCGATCAGAAATCCTCTAGGACGCTTCTTCCTTACAGCGCTCAGTGAGCGATGCCAACTCTCACAATTTGTGGTCACAATAATTTATATTCTTCTCGTAAAAATAAAGCCCCATCTCTCCGCGCAGAACAACTCGCACTGGGCAGGAGGGAGGGAAGGGGCCAGCTACAGCCGCACGACTCGTAGGAGGCACACAAAGAACTTTCTGGTTGTATTTCTGTGCAGATAAACACACCTCCAGAGGCTGCAGCTAGTGAAGGACACACCCCACAGCCCGCTCAGCAAAGACCTAGCAGGGATTCTCATTTCAACTGCTCACAGCAACCACAGGTAACCAAAGACCGCAAGAAAAAAAAATTTTGCTCTCTTTGTAAAAGCCACAGGCCTCTGAAAAAGCACAGCCAGGAGCCCTAAACCAGCTGTGGTTCTGCTTCTTCCCCTCAATGCTTAGAAATTCAAACAGAAGGAAACCACGGCCACAGGACAGACCCCGCGGGGGGACGCGGCCCCGCACCACCTCACGCTGCCGCGGGACGAGCGGACGCGGCTGGAGGTGCCGCCGCCTGGCACCTCTCTGAGCTCTGCCTTGGGACGGCAACGGTCCTCGGCTGCCCAGAGAGGAAAGCACTTCCCCGAGAGCATGGGAACAGAAGTGCCAGGGACAAGGCGGTGGTGACAGCCGCAGGGACGGCCGGGATCTCTGTGAGCCAGAAAAGCCGGGCTGCGCTTGCGCTGCCTCAACACCGCGGCGTGACGTCGGGTGTAACGGAGAGAAAGCAGCTTAGAAACAAACGCTCTGAAAGCCAACAAAAGCCTCCTGCTGTGGCAGAGCGTACACCTCACACCTGCCGGGAGCAGGCTGCCCGTACCCTCGCCCAGGTTACCCACACCCAGACGTCCCCTCGCTGGCCCCGCCGGGTCACGTTTGTCAGCCGGGCAGCCGCTGGGAGAGCTGGCACCGTCCGGGCAAGAATCGGCACCCCCCGGGCCCAGGCCTTGGGCTAATCCTCAGTCACACGCTGCTCCCTGTGCATGGCACTGCAAAGTAAGGAGAAAAAATCCTCAAAACCCTGCACCTCATCACCATGGCAGTCATCGGCCAGTGACAGTTCTAGAGCAAATCCTTAATTTAACGTGACCCCAGCCGAGGGCAGATACAGCGAGGCAGGCCCAGCCGAGCCGAGCCCATCGGGGGGCAACAGGCTGCCCCCGAGGCTCCACGGTGCAGACGTGCCCTGCACCGGGCAGCTCCAACAGCTTCAACAGTCCTTCAGGAAAACCCCAAATTATTTTGAGCTATGGCGATCCAAATGAACAGATCAAATGTAAGGAGGAGCTCCACTTGGGCATTTAGCTTTCTTCTTCTCTAGCTTGAAAACAGAAATAACAAAAACAGCCACAGACTTTTTTTCTTTCGAGTAAATGAAAGACAATAAAATTTCATTCTGTACTTAAATAAAAGAATTTTAAGGCAAGGACAAATTCTAGGGTTAGGCTATGAACTCTGGAAACCCCTTTTTTGGGGGAAATGTTGCCAGACCCTGATGCACAGCAGCTGAGGGTACACCTAAATTCCTTCCCA